GATCTGCTCAAAAGCGAGATATAGGTCGGTCGCAACAGGCTGCTGGGAATGGCGTGGAAAAATCCATCAGGAACAACACAGGGAGAGCTGATCCCACAGAGTGGCTGAGAGCATCTCTCAAGGCCTCCGTGAGCTCTTTGGGCAGAAATTTCCCTTTCAAAGCTTCTGTGAACCTTATTAAGCCAGCAGAAACGAGCTCTAGAGACAAAGCTCTGGGAGCCACCTGCAACAGAGCAAAACTTTCCAGAGGAAGGCAAGAGAATATATTTAACTCCCTTCCTTTAGTTATATTTGTGACGTTACTATAAAATAACCGTCTCGACCCGAGTGCAGCAGGCAGGTCTGGGACTTCTTGACTTGGCACCAAGATCCCCTGGCAGCCGACGCGTAACGAGGGTCAAGCGCTTTTCCCGTCGTGCCGCCGGATAGCCGAAATCACAGACTCGCCCATCTACAAAACAAATTAAAGAAGCCAAATATCTTTTGATTTGGTGGCTGCATTCGGCTCTGTGGAAGGTCAGTTGTATATATTTGATGTATGGGTGCGCCACTGCATTTATAAGGGGCTTTTTCCTTCATCTGTTCAACTGCAATAATTACAGCGTGTGGACTTTGCATCATCCGTAATTGTGAAAGGCTGAGTGGGAGCCGGTACAGCTCGCACAAAGGGCGCTGACTGGAGCCTTCCCGGCAGATCCGCTCTGGTTTTGGCTGGGGATGCCATTAGCGCACAGTGCTGATTAGCTTTTCATTAGCAAAACCCTTAACGTCGCATCTCGGGAGGGAAACCGGCTGTTGTGTTTGTGGGCTAGTATCAAGAAACTCAGTCGTGAAGTCTTCATTTCCTTCAGCAGAAAACGTTAGCGCATCCTATCTGCGTCTCAATTAGCCCCCCCAAAATTAAGCTAAATTAAGCTGGGCAGGCCCGACGGGCCCCGGAACCAAAGAGCGCGGCCCAGCTGCCGGCCGGACCGGCGCACGGCGGACGGAAGTGTGGGGGGGGG